CACATCAATAAAGACACACACTGAAATCGGGCCTTGAGCTGTTTTTAATAGATTTGCCTCTCTGCATTATTTGCTTTTGTTTCATGCCTATACCCCATCATACCTCACTGTTTTTGTAGTTCCCTACATGCGTTTGCCATTTGGTAAGAGGTAGCTCTGTAGTTTCTGTGGGTTAGTCACCTATTGCCCAGGGTAATTGTGTCAACATGTTATTAAAAGATTGTTCCAAGTAATTGTGAAATTAGGGAGTGTTCAGAGTCCAGTAGTTAAATTTCCATCCTGGTTTCAAATAGTGTAGGTTAGTGATGTAATTAAATTAACCTGTATCATACATGTAAGAAAGGACCTTGGAAATCATCTTACTTGATCTTCAACCTCAAGTTCTGTTCTTCGGTGTTCCTGACAAGTAGTTACCCGTGGAGCCATTTTAGTTGGCTTTTGTGTGAGACAACCATCTTCAGTCTCAAGAAGTTCCTATTGCTGGCTTTTTCCATCCTTATAGTTTGAACATACTATGTGTTCTTCTCTCTGTGACAAGCTTCCAATAGTTTGTAGGTTATAAGCCATAGAGGCGGAACATACTTGGCATGGTGGTTAGTGTTAGCATCTGTTTTTGTATAAGTGTTGTTTATTTTTTTATAGTATTTCCATTCAGTATGACACCCACCCATGTTAACATACTACCTGGATGATGTATAATATACTTTGTAATATATGTATTATACTTTCTTCTAGTAGGAGCTGGGTGAGAATTAGGTTTGTATGCTACATTGTGTACAGCACTTACAGACTTAAATACTAGAGTGATTTAAATGTAGTTAATTGGGATTTATTTTGCAGTTGAGATGACAGTTTGTGAATGGTTTTCTCTTGTTGACCCAGGCTCATATATTACTAGTTGAAGTTGTCATGTATTCTAAGGCTAATGTAAATGAACATAGGGTTTGTGAAAACCTGACTAGAACTCAGCTAGTGGGCAACATTATAATTTATTTATAGCTGTGTAATACAATTACTAATGAACTAACTTAGAATGAGGACAAAATTATACTACATTTTATGTGAAATTATACTGTATGACAAAGGTTGGCATTATGTAATAAGTACCCACAAAATGTTAACCTACTTGCAATAAATACAATTAATAATGTACATAAAAGAATGAAATTAAGCTGATTTTTATCAAAAAAGAATTATTCATGAACAGAAAGTGGACAGCATAGATTTGATGACAGAAAGGTTGTATCTAATCTGAATTACTGAGTGACCTAGGAAGCTTGCTCGGAGGGGTTACAGAATAATTATGTTAATATGCAATTATCACCTCATTTCTTCTGTAGTAACCTCAAGATGTAGTGTAGTGAGGGTGTTATAGCAAGTGCTGATAGTTTGCAAAAATAGTGATGTTTGAGATTTCTGAGACAATAAGACTAGCTTGAGGCACATCAGTGATGACCTGTCATCTTGAAGACAGGATCTGACCCCTGTACTTGGAGTGCTCACAGGATAACTGCAGGCAGTTACAGCTGCAGAGCTCATTATGCTTCGTGGAGATTTTAAACCCCCATTTGCAGCTTTTAAAAAAGTTTATGAATTGTTTAAATTCAGTTAAGAGGAAGATCCTGTGACTCTGTGATTACAGAAGGATTTTAGTAGTGCCATCTAAACATTATTTTAAAGAATCTTGAGTATTTTGAATTCATCAAATTCAAGTTCTCTTAAACAATGAAATCTTTTAAACTTCCCTATTATACCATTATACTATGTTTTAAATGTTAGCTTTTTATTTTTATATTTAAATACATTTTTAGTGATTCATTTGTTTTTATTTTATGTGCATTGATTTTTGCTTGCATGTTTTTCTGTGTGAGGATGTCAGATCCCCTGGAACTGGAGTCACTGACAGTTGTTAGCTGCCATGTGGTGCTGGGACTTGAACCCAGGTCCTCTGGAAGAGCAGTCAGTGTTTTTATCCTTTGAGCCATCTCTATCACTGATTAGTTTCCTTAAATGTAATGAAACAATGTTTACCTCCACATACGTTTCTTTGTTACAGTAACAAACTGGTACTGTATGTATGTGTCCATATAAAGGCAGTAGAAAACTGTTTGAAAAATGAGTTTATAGGTCAAATGCTTTCTTACTGGCTGAACACAGTCCTGTGAATCCAAGGAAATAGATGTCAAAGCTACAAATCCTTCATTCGGTGCAATAGGATGTGACGATGTGCTGTTTTCATTGTGCCCTGAAAATTGTATAAAATACTTTTTTATAATAAGATTGTATAAAATATAAAAGCATTTTATAGTCAGAATATATTATGAAGATTAAACCCAGAAAAATGTTAGTTTCATAATGTAAACTATTTGTGTCTAGTTAAGCCTCGTTTCATTATGTAGACGTCATGAACCAAGACTTGATTTTATGTTTTAGCAGTGTAATTCAGATTTTCTTTTTTTTTACTAGATATGTTTTGTGGATCAATTATGTTTTGCACATGTATTTTTCATATGTATCTTCTAAATGTGAAGTTAGGAGATCTTATTAAGCAATCCTGGTAACAAGGATGCAGCCTCCAAAACAAGATGATATTCTCGTAGTGTGTCACCCTGCTGTTCAGGGGTTACCAGTGGAGTTGCTTTAAATGGGGAGCGTCTGTTCCATCCTTGAGCCTCTAACACCAGAACAGATGGGTGGAGCACAGAACACGGAAGGCTTTGCCTCTGAGGTGGCAACAGTGAAGCCACTCATTAACACTGAATTTACCACTTTGTTAGCGACGTAGCTTCCTGTGGAGAAAAGCTAATACAGGCTTCAAATCGACTGAGCATGTATTTGTCTGCTTCTGTGATTATAATAAATAGAAACAGAAAGTGTCATTCACCACAGGTTTATGTGGTTGTTGTTAGTACTGGGCATTTTATTTTTCTCCTGGACCCAGTGAGAAGTGGCACCAGTGGGTAACAAACAGGACAGCATCAGCCGCACTCTTCTTTTGACATTTGTACTCTCTCCGCACACATGTTTATGGGCTGCCCACTTTTAACTTCTGTGTTTGTGGTGTGGACCCCTGCTGGGTGCTGCATTAGCACCATTTTGGGGTGATATCATTGAGTACGATCTTATTGGAAGTCTATTTTTATTACGGTGGAAGTTTGCCAGTGTCAAAGCAGAATTCTGAAATGTGTGAGAGAAGGAATGGTGATTGTTGGTATAAATAATGCCAAAGGAAGATCTTTTATGATATTTGTTTGTAATCTTTGATGCATTTATTAAGCACTTTGTTGAAAGAATAATGTGTTTTGTAAGTTATTAAATGAGACAGATACTACAAATCTTTTATTCTTGTGCTAGAGTTAATGTTTTATAAAGCATAAAATTTATACTCCAACTGCAAATTATGTAAAATATCTTAATTTCTGAATTGAATTTTAGAGTCCTGCTATATTGTTCACTGTTGAGGTTTAAAATACTTCAAAGATAATGGGAAGGATTTGTTTCTATCTGCAAATCAGAAACCAAGTCCGTCTTTGTACTGTTTTGATTCTGTGGCTGTGCCTGGCACACAGCAAGTGCTTAGCTAGTTTGTTGAGCATGAGTGAGCTTTGCTTCTGTCTGTTACAGTTATACAGGTTCTTCAGTAGTTTTTAAGCATTGTCCCAGTTGCTGACTCAAGAGTTCAGAACCATGGTAGGACTTGTATTTGAATTGTATGTCTAGGTGTCATAGAAAAACAGCTATTTTTCTTTCAGTTTTGATTTTGCAATTACATTTTTACTTATTCAATACTTAGTCCTTTATTCAACAAACATTGCCTAGCATCTTTGCCATGTGGTTCTGTGAAATGTGACCATGACTAGGTTGTGTGATCATAGCCATGTGTGACTGCCCCACATCCACGTTCCTTTCTCTTACAACTCTGTTCCGTCTTCTTAAACAGTTCAGTGTATGATCAAAAGCACTTTGCCATGTTAATCTACATTATGTATGAAATAAACTAATTATGACATGACATTTCATTGTAAAGTTTTAGGCCTCTGCACTTCTGTCAGATTATAAATGGTATAATTGCTTTTAGGGAATGCCTAAGAATTTGAGATCTCAGTGTATAAAATTTTAGCATAAAGCTTGATTAATTGGGGCTGGAGAGATGGCTCAGAGGTTAAGAGCGCCGACTGCTCTTCCAGAGGTCTTGAGTTCAATTCCCAGCAACCACATGGTGGCTCACAACCATCCATTATGAGATCTGGTGCCCTCTTCTGGTGTGCAGATATACACAGAAGCAGAATGTTGTATACATAATAAATAAATAAAATCTTTTTTTAAAAAAAGCTTGATTAATTTTAACATAGTAACTTAAAATTAATGATAACTTGAGTAAAGAATGACTAGAACCTTATGAATAAGCAGTTTTATAGTTGGTAGAATTTTGACAGAACATTGTCTTGAGCAGAACAGTTTTAAATATTTTAGAAGCAAAAATTACTATTTTATACATAGGTAAGCCATTTATATTGAATGCAAATAATACATTTGACCCAAATAAAGTTACTACGTAATATTTGTTACTTTCCTCCAGGAATGAACTTTCAGGTGATAAACAGTTCTTTACAATAGTTGATTATTCCAGTTATACTGTATAGAGTAACTGTCCTTAGTAAGTCTGTTTAAGCCAGAGAATTCTTTTTATTATAAATTTATTATAAATGATGTTTTAAACTTTTCAATGTGTGATGCATTCATTCATATTGTGTGTGCTGCATTTCCCTGTGTAGTTTTTGTGCAGAATACAAAGTTTCTAGAAAGCTCAAACAGAAATATTTGCTTTGAAATCTTCTTAAAAGTGGTTCAGTTTTCTTTGAAATGTTTTCTGACTTCTAGAAAATTATTAATATCTTCAATATAAAGTTAAGTCAATGAAAATGTGTACTTCCAACTCTCCATACATTCCAGTAGCATGTCTTTCATGCAAATCTAAATTTTTGTTTTCCATTTTCTAGACTAAATGTGTTAAATGATCTTGCCAACAATATGGATGATTTGAAGATAGACAGCGATGCCACTGGTGCTAAAGAAGAACTCCAAGGTGACAGCAGTTATATCTCAGAGAAAGACAGTGGAGTTCATGAACCAAAAGATTGTCAGACACCATTTCAGAAAAACAGTTCATTGACTCTGTCTGAAGAATTGTCAGAGGAAAAACCAGAAAAAGCCTTAAGTGGAGGCCGGTCTGCTTTGTTTATACCTGCCGGCATGCCTGCTGTTCCTAGTGAAAACTATACGTTGCCTGCGGAAGCTGTTGTTAATGGACCAGTTTCACGCTCCTTAACAAAGACTTCCAATATGAATGAAGGTAGTGTTTCATTAACCACTGGACAGCCTGTGGATCAGCCAGCAACAGAATCGTGTTCAACTTTGAAGGTAGCAGCTGATGTTCAGCTGCCTGTACCACAAAAAGCAAGCCAACAGCAAGCTCTGTTTTTGTTATCAGATGTAGCACATACTAAGAACACAGCCCATTCCATTAAAAAACTACCTACCTCTGCTTTAGTTGGTTGTGATGTTCCGAATTCAGTAGGGAGTAGTATGAAGTCAGAGAGCACTTTACTAAATCAAGTAGAGGAGGGCAAGGGTAATGAAGATGTATTGGCAAAGGATAACTGTGCCAAAACATTAGCAGGAGTTTCCTCAGGTACAGATGAATTTAGGTCAGAAAATGATACAAACTGGGATCCCCAAAAAGAGTTCATTCAGTTTCTTATGACTAATGAAGACACAGTGGATACACCTCCCGTTCATTCTAAAGTAGTAGGTCTAGAAAAAAAGAGAAAGCGAAAAATGGATGTAAGCAAAATAACTCGTTACACAGAGGATTGTTTTAGTGATTCTAATCGTGTACCCAATAAATCAAAAATACTAGAAGTTGACTTTCTAGGGCAAAATGAGGAGGTGCAGGTGGCAGACTCACAGAAGTACACTTTATCAAAAGTGAAACCTGAGTCTGCTGATGAAGATGTGGAGTCTGTGGATACTTTTCAGCATCTAGTTTATAACGCAGATAAATGTGGAGAAGATAATTCACCTATTCATACACGCACTTTTATTTCTAATACCTTAAAAAAGAAATGTGAAGAGAGTGATTCTGAGTCACCTGCTACTTTCAGTATCGAAGAGCCATCATTTTACCCCTGTACAAAGTGCAATGTGAATTTTAGGGAGAAAAAACACCTCCACAGACATATGATGTATCATTTAGATGGGAACAGTCACTTTCGCCACCTAAACGTTCCAAGACCATATGCTTGTAGAGAGTGTGGACGGACATTTCGAGATCGCAACTCACTGCTAAAACACATGATCATCCACCAGGAAAGAAGACAGAAACTGATGGAAGAGATCCGTGAGTTGAAAGAACTCCAAGATGAAGGAAGAAGTGCACGGTTACAATGCCCTCAGTGTGTGTTTGGTACCAACTGCCCTAAGACATTTGTGCAACATGCTAAAACCCATGAGAAAGACAAAAGGTACTATTGCTGTGAAGAGTGTAACTTCATGGCAGTGACAGAAAATGAATTGGAATGCCACCGAGGCATTGCCCATGGAGCAGCCGTGAAATGTCCTATCGTCAATTCAGATGCAACTCAGAGGAAAACACAAAAAAAGACTTTGATGAAAGACTCTGTTACAGGGTCATCCAAAAAGTCAGCTACATACCTATGTAAAATGTGTCCCTTTACTACTTCAGCCAGAAGTATTTTGAAAAAGCACATGGAGTATTTGCATTCCCCATCATGTGTTGATTCATTTGGTAATCCTCTTGGACTTGACAAAAGAAAAAGTGACATCCTTGAAGAATCTGTAGATACAGATTGTACTAAGCCATTAGTTAAACAACAGTCAGCCACATTTCCAAAGAACTCTGCTTTAAAACAAGATGTTAAACGAACATTTGTACCAAGCTCACAATCAAGTAATTTTTCAAAATTTCATAAGCGGGGGCCACATAGAATACAAAAAGCCCGGAAAAGTATTGCCCAGTCTGGTGTAAATGTGTGCAATCAAAACAGCTCTCCTCACAAAAACATTACGGTTAAAAGCAGCACTGACCAAAAGCCAAAGTATTTCCATCAAGCAGCAAAAGAAAAATCTAATGCCAAGGCAAATAGCAGTTATTTATATAGACATAAGTATGAAAACTACAGGATGATCAAAAAATCATGTGAATCACACCCACTTCCTTTCAAAAAAGAAGTTAATTCATTAAACTCTTTACATCTGTTTTCATCATCCAATAATTCTCACAATAATTTTATTTCAGACCCTCATAACCCAGACACCAAAAGGCCAGATCACAAGCGTGTAGCTGTAAAAAGAGTAGTTAAGGCTTCCAAGAAGGAAAGTTCTGGTGGAGAAGACTTGGATAGCTACCCTGATTTTCTGCATAAAATGACTGTCGTTGTTTTGCAAAAGCTTAATTCTGCTGAAAAGAAAGATAGTTATGAAACAGAAGATGACAGCTCCTGGGATAATGTTGAGATAGGTGACTACACTACACAGACCATGGACGAAGAAACCTACAGTGGTCTTAGTCAAGAACATGTAAACTTACTGCCCCTATTTAAAAGCAAGATGGAAAGCCAAGGTCCTGGAGACAGTGCTGCCCTTAGTTACAATCAGGATGATGGCTTCTATTTTGAGTATTATGAAGATGGTGGCACTAACAGCTTTTTACATGAGATACATGATCCTCAGAATTTGGAAAATGCAGAAACGCCTTTGTCAAAGCATAGCTCTGTTTTTCATTGGGCTGATTTGTCCCTTGAAAAGAAGTCCTGTCCTTACTGCCCAGCAACGTTTGAAACAGGTGTTGGGCTGTCAAATCATGTCCGAGGACATCTCCATAGAGCAGGATTAAGCTATGAAGCCCGTCACGTTGTGTCACCAGAACAAATAGCCACAAGTGACAAAATGCAGCATTTCAAGAGAACTGGCACAGGGACGCCTGTGAAGCGAGTTAGAAAAGGTAAGTCTCATGGAGATAGTTGGGGCCCAGTAAGAGCTCAGATTCAGAGGAGTTGAAAATTGTGTTTGAATTTGGTCCTTCTTAGAATTGCAGCATTTCATATTTCAGAGTTAATTCATTGATGGGGATTTGTGAAAGAGTCTGATACCACTCTTAACAATCTTTTTTTAGCTGTAGAGAAGGCTGAAACTACTTCTGAACATACTTGTCAGCTCTGTGGTGGTTGGTTTGACACAAAGATTGGGTTATCAAATCATGTCAGAGGCCATCTGAAAAGACTTGGGAAAACCAAGTGGGATGCTCACAAGTCTCCAATCTGCGTTCTCAATGAGATGATGCAGAACGAAGAGAAATATGAAAAGATTTTAAAGGCACTCAACAGTCGTCGCATTATTCCCAGACCGTTTGTAGCTCAGAAACTTGCACCAGGTGATGACTTCCTGTCTCAGAATGTTTTACCTCTTGATGAATACCGTAATGGCCTAAAGACAGAGGCCCTGTCAGTGTCTGCATCAGAGGAAGAAGGCTTGAGTTTCCTGAATGAATGCGACGAAACAAAACCTGAACTGCCCAGTGGAAAAAAGAGCCAGTCTCTTACACTGATAGAACTTCTTAAAAATAAAAGGATGGGGGAAGAAAGGAATTCCGCACTTTCTCCTCAGAAGATCCATAACCAGACAGCAAGAAAGAGATTTGTTCAGAAATGTGTTCTTCCATTAAACGAAGACAGTCCGTTGATATATCAACCACAAAAAATGGACTTGACTATGCACTCAGGTAAGAGGACACTTGTGACTTACTTACACACAGCCGAGTCATGCTTTGTGAGGTGGGGTTCTGCGCGGGGCCTTGTGAGCTTCTTTCTGTTTGAACTGCTGTGTTTGCAGTGGATGCCCAGCCGCACAGAGTCTCCACCTCATTTTTTGGTCTGAATGTAAGTTGAGAACCAAAGCAAAATGCACGAAATATGTGCGCGCACATACACAAGCCAAATGACCTGTGGAAACTATGGGAGACTGATGTTTGACAGCACTGTTTAGAGGGAAGACCTGTGGCAGCCTCTGCCAGTGCTGCAGTGATATCTTGAGAACAGCTTCCGGGGGTCTTGTTGCTTAGGCAAGGCAGTACAGAACAGCTCCTTTAGACCAAAGGGCTGGTACCTGTTGTGTGAGGCCATCAACCCAAACAAGCGTCTGCTCTCTGAAACTCGTATTACGGTTTGGTGTGACTATTAGAGAACTGTAATGAATATGAACAGATGTTTGCTTGGCCTTTGAATTTTACAGTTGTGTTCCCCTGCGGCATAGTGGGTGCTTCCCTCAGTGCTGGTAGACCAAGCTCCTTTCCCCTGAAGGAATGTTTTAAATGTACTGTGAAAGGACATGGCATGTGAATACCCAAACTGCTTTTTGGTATTCTTGGTCTGGTTTATACTCAAACACTAGAAGGCTGTTTTGAGGTTAAGAGTGGGCCTATGTTGACTGTGGTTGATAGAAATTGCCCAGTGGATTAGTAAAGAACTAAATTACTGTGGTTCTGATTTGCTTCTGGGCAAGCATGAAATATCTCAAATATTATTTGTACTGTAATTTTGATTTATGGGAATGTTTTTCTGAAAAAAAAGCTTTCTCTGATGTAGGACTCTGGATAGTAAGGACTTTCTTCCATATAAAGGGCCTTTCAAAGTTAGCAGTTTTCTTCTAAGAAGGATAAAGTTCAGCTGTGTTAACCATGATGCAATATTTCTTCCGGCCATCATAATAGTGTTGATGACAACTATTGAAATGTTTGGGGGAATGTGAGGGTTGTCTGAAAAGTTTTGAGTTTCTTTGTTTTCAACATGTTTCCTTTCTTGTAGTGGCATTGGCTAGTTGATCATTGACTTAGCACAAATATTTTAGCAAAAAACTTCAAATCATTAACTTGGATTATTGATTGCGCATTCAGATGCCCCAAATAAAATGTTGTGTCTAACAGCTGTTCAGTGGTGTGTTTACCACCTCTTCACCCAGCCTTCATCAGAAAGCCTAATTTAGATTCCAGCCTTTTATGGTTTTGTGGGTAAAACACTTTCATTACCACTTTGTCAACTAGACTTTTTAATTCTTTATTGCTATGTTGTAAGCTTTGGACCTTCCCAACAGAATGGATGGTGCTATTCAAATAACAAGATTGAATTATCATAAGCTTAAGAAATGATCTGGATAGCACAGAAATCTGCCAGAAAGCGACAGTAGTATTACCTTCAGGGCCCGGAAGTCATACTACCTCCTACCTTTCCAAGGAGCATAGGCCAGCTCTGAATAACTGCCAACTGCTAACAGTTAACTCTCTTCCTTAATTCAAGCTGAGCCAACTCAACGAGCGTTTTAAAAACCATCTTTATTGTGGTACTTTTCTTTTCCCTTTTTGAAGTGAGAACTGGATTCTAGTTTTCTTTTGAATGATAGGTGTGCCTGTGAAGCTTAGAGCATGTGTGCATTGCACTGTGATGTTTACAAGTGCTGTTAGCCTGGCCAACCACTTACGCGCTTGTGCACGAAGGAGGAGTGCTGCACTTGTGACTGGTACAGGTATGTTTGAACAGATATCACAGCAAGTCTCCTCACCAGATGGGGGCCAGTAAGTTAGATGGTATCTATAGCTCTTTTTGGTAAGCAACAACTGCGTATACATTAAAGTTCAGCAACTTGTAAACTCTTAGAATTTCAATGAATGATTATTTTCATCTGGCTCATACTTATTTGACTTGGGGGAAAGTAGCCCATCTGAGGTGAACTTTTGAGTCAATATTAAAATTATACTATTTTTGATTTTTGAGGGTTTTTTTCTATTAGTGGATTCTAATAAAGACACTGCTTTGGTTAAAAAACTTGAAAAAGATTATAGTAGTGCAACTTTGGAAAAGGGTGCTTTATTAGAAAAGGAAATGAGTGAAATTTCAAATATATAGACTAATAATGGAGCTCATTGATAATTGTATAGATTTTTCTTTTAATGCTCCTAACCTACATTTAGGATTAATAAACCTAGATGCTCATTTCTGTGTTATTTTTGGTTAGCTAGTCCAGCTTTGCAGATAATCTCTTCATGCCTGCTTGTTTGTGAGCATCTGTCAGCGCACTCATAATGCGCTTCTTATGCGTTGCAAAATGCTTTGCTCTTGGCTTTGTACTCTTTCAAGCTGCTTGCTTTAGCAGGTTTCATCTTTCTCAAGTCTTAAAATACACCTTTTTTTTTTTTTCTAAATAGAACTGGGCAAAGCTTTTCCGTTAAGTCTTCTTTCAAATCTTTTTATTTCTCTTGCTCCTTTGAAGTCATTACCTTCTGCTTTCTTGAGTACTTGTTTGCCCAGCCTTTTTCTTCTTCATGTTCTACAGCTTATATTGACTATGTCCTTGCTGCTCAAGAAACACTTGACTTGTACTGGTGTGTTTCTTCTGCTTCTTCACTTCATTTCTTGGCTTTGTACACAAATGACAGGACCACTGTTGCTATGAAGAAGACAAAAACAGTTTGGTTCCCTGATTCAGAGCTCTGACTGTGAGGTTTTAATTTTCATAGGCCTGTTTGATCAGCATGCAATTGTAGACGTTAAAGATGGAGGCAATAAAAGTGAGAAACTGCTGAGCTGGCAGATCATTGTCGTATCACTGTGCTATGTGACTTGCAAGCCTGATGCTCAGGGACAGCCTTGTGACATGTAGGTCTAGGCTTCTCTTCCATTGTGGAGGCAAGTTGTGCTCGGAATTTTGTCATTTGTCTACACTTGGAGGGTTACCACATAACAAAGCTGCTGTTCAAACCAACACTGTTTTACCTTCGCTTTTTACCCCTAATCACCATTCTCTACTATATGTAAGAAGACTTTTTTGTGGATTTCTGTTTGATGATCCTAGAATGAAAGTGGGTTTAAAGTGGGTACACTCTGGTAAAGGCTAAATAAATGAGTAATTAGAAACAAGGTATCGGTGAGGCCTACTTTAGATGTTTTTTGAATGCTTATGAAGATGTTTCATTATGTTCTTAGCAACTTATTCTGATATTTAATGGGTGAGGTGTCCCTCCACTTGTTTGTTGGTCCATTAAATACTTTTTTAAATCTCATCTGAAAACTTTTCAAGAAAACACAATAGTTTAAGGCACTGGTAACTTATTTCACCTTTCATTAAAACAACAACAAAAGCAAACCAAACTTCAAACCCTTCATTATTAGAGAGAAAAAGAATATAAAATGAATTGGACAGTCTAGGCCATCAAGAGAAAAGAGAATATTGCAGTTAAATACTAACCAACATGTCAGAAGAGGTAGACAATCAATGTTTACTTTCCATACCCACTCCAGGTTTGTCTCAATCTAAAGTATGTTTGCTCCGTAAAGCCCTGCGCATGCGTGCACACACCTACACAGATACACTCACCCACACACACACACACACACACACACACCTTTCCTGCTTTTTCATGCCAACTAAGTTTTTATTCAGCTTTATTAAAGTTTTTGTTTCCCAGATAGGGAATCCAGTTAATATCTATAAGTGCCACATGGCCGTTCCTTTCCCAATACTTGTATCACAGACCAAGCAGGTTCTAGATTATTATAAAGGGGTTCCTTAGTTCATATCAGTAACAAGCTTGGCTTTGTAAAAGTGTGTGTGTGTGTGTGTGTGTGTGTGTGTGTGGAGAGAGAGAGAGAGGTGTATAGTAAATTCTCATTTTTAAACCATACCTTCATTCAAGTGCATCACAAAATGGAACAATGAAAATGTGTGTTCTCCTTGTTCAGTCTTTGTTTTTAGATGTTTATCTGTATGATAACAGAGCTGTTTTGAATACAGAGCTTAAATGGGGGGAGAGGCTGGGAAGGTGGTTCAGTGGCTAAAGTGCTTTCTGAAATGTGCAAGGAGCAGTGATTGGATTCTAGGCATCCATGTAAGTCAGCTGGGTGTGGAGAAACACTGGCCATCCTGTCCAGCTGACACTGTGGGCTTTGATCTTAGCGTTCAGTGAGAGACTGGCTCAATAAACAAGTACATAAAATGAAGAAGCACTTTAAGAAAGACATCCCCATGTCAGCTACTGGCCTCCACTGTGCATGAACAGGCATGTAATAGCAACACAAGTGCACAACCTTGCACATTCTCAAGACTGAGTGTGATAAGCTGTGGTAAGATGGACTTTGCCTGTTTAGAAGCATTAGCTCCTGAAGTCTTGTGTGCAATCCAGTAGAGTTCCAGAGATAAAAATGTTCATTCTAACTAACCTCCAACCAACACTCTACTTGCAAAAATGTCAATTTGCTGACTGTTCAAATACTTGTAATGTGTTGGTTCTTCATGTTAACATCTTGACTCCCACATGTAAATTCACATTTATACCTGCATACTCTCTGATACACTCTAGTGTTTTTGTTTTATTCTTTCTCGTTAAAAGTTAATGCTTATTATGACTCAGTAAGTTGGCTTGCTACCCACATTTGAATACCCTGCCTTAACTTCATTCTGTTTAGGCAGTGATATGGCCTAGAACCAATGACAGTAGACTATCTTAGAAAGCCTAACACTTCTGTGGCAGCAACAGAATTATTTTTCTTAACCTACTTGTTTTTTGTCTACCAGCTATTTTTTGAAGTTAGATAATGACCTTTGGAATGTCAAGTAAAGTAGGAATTTCTAGTTATTTAAAATGAATAGGGGAAAATATTTTTTTTTTGAAGATTTTATTTATTATGTATACAGCCTTCAGCCTGCATGCCAGCAGAGGGCACCAGATCTCAT